TATTCTATTTAACATCAGCTAGATCCCTGATTAGAGAATGAGTGTCATTTTATCAAGTTTAACTTAATAAGATTCCTAGTTGATTGTTAATAATTATTCCGCGTTTTTATTTTAATACTATAAGGAATATTCTTAGCAGCTCTTAGATGATCAATTATTGCCTAATATTTAAAATATTGCACATTGTTATTGGTTTGTCTACATTGAACTTCTAGATTTTGTTTATTTTAATATTGTACAAAAATAATTCTACAATAATATTAAGAGAGTAGAAGCTCCAAAACTTCAGTTTTATTCCCGCTTTTCCGCACGATTGCGTTGCAACGACCTTACAATCTCTTACGAGTCTCGCGACAACATTTTTCTCTAAATATTTCTCGTTTTGTGCATAGGATTATTCGTTGCAGTCCACGGTACCAGAGCAAAAACGCGGAATAATTAACGATCTAGCTAGGAATCTTATTAAATCAGAAGAGATTAAAACGGCAATTGCTAAAATGAATTGGCATCGTGTTCACCCGGAATGCAATTAAATAAAGCTATTAAAAATTTTCTAGCAACAAATTGTGCTAATATCGAGGATATATCAAGTGATAAAATTGAGACTATCTTTTTTAATATTCCTAATGAGAATCTTCCTAATTTCAAACGAGCCATGAAATGAAATTATGATTACGTTATTTACCGTTCTTTATTGTTAAATGTTTTTGATATTTCTTTAAAAACGAGAATCGACATCTCTTCTTATTGAAACTTTGACAGCGGTTTTTTTCTCTGACATCCGTCGAATAACGACACGATGTCGTTTCTCTTTATTGTCACGACAGACTACGCGAGCTCGTTGGTGATGTTTCGATGTATTTCCTTCCTCTCGCAAGCTGTCGCATCTCGCGTTTCACAGCTGTCCTTCCGCATCGCTGACTTGTCGTCGTCGTCATCGTCATCGTCGCCGCTGTCGTCGTCGTCGTCGTAACACAGCAAAATAGTTTCGCGCCAGAACAATGCCACGATTACGTCGGTCCATGTGCATTGTACATTATGAGAGGTAACGCGCGCGTCGCGCTTCTGTAATTATGGAAACCAAGCATAAACTCCGCGATTTGCATTTCAAACTACCATTGTAATATCAGGCCCGACAGACGGCCGCGTGCTCGTTCCTCTGTGCTTTTACCTACCTACCTACCTATCTGCCGCCCTTACCCTTTCGCCGTAGAATATTCCGAAATTGCCTCTCTTATTTTCAATCATGGATCCTCCTACCAATTTAGAGTTCTTTCTGAACGAAAATACAAAGGCACGAATAGCCTTAAAGTGCAGTTCAGCGAAATTAAAGGATTTATAAGAAAGGATTTTAATTTTGTAAAGATAATGAAATACTTTAGAAGAGAGAAGGCATGGTTTATTACGGCACTCTTTTTACATTTCATGTAATTACTTGTATTAAATTTTAATAACTGGTATTTAAATTTAAAACTTAACGATTACATTTGTCAAAGTATTGTTCAATCGATTTTAGAGATGTAACTCAAAGTTACAAATCATACATTAAGATGCTATTTATAAAAATGTAGCGATTGCATAATGGCTCGAAGAGAAACAGGAATGGTAATGGCTTTTTATAAAAATTGATTTAAATAACTAGTTTTATTTAGAAATAAACAGTAGGTATTTGGTTACAAACCAAAAAGTAAAATATTGCAAAACGTGTATACGTATTCATCTTCCTTATGTAAGTTGCTCAATATTAAAAATCTATAGTACGTATAATATATTATTTGAAACTTTTAGAGTGAATTGTCACTCTTTTAAAGATTGAGCTTTTTTTAAATACAGTGAGATTCCATTCCAAAGAATTGAATGTAATTTTGAATGTAAATTATATGTAGATAAATACTAGGCAATCAATTTATTAATAATGATTATTTTAACATAACTATATGAAACAAGATTATTTCGATAAAAATCAAATAAATTAATTTCGGAAGTAATCTGCAATTTGCCACTTAATAGCGAGAATAATAAGAGAGGGGAAGGGGGGAGGGCATTATATCTACACTAATTATAATACCGCCTTCTTCTCTATTATTTCTTATTTTACTGCCTCCCTCGTGTGGATGTTCAGCATTAAATATCGTAAATCAACTGCATTCTACTGTTGAGAGCATTTCAAATTTATCAAAAAAGATGAAGAGAGATGCAATGAATCACGAATATTTTGTACATGCATGCGGATCCATTCGCGCACGCTGTCACTCATTTTCTCGATTATCCACGTTAATGCATTTCGACGCATTCAGCCAACCCGCCTGTAAACGTGTTTCCGGCGCAAATTTTATTCCACAGCGAAATGCCGCCGAAGCGATAACGCCGATAAATTCGTCTGGATTAATATACAGCATGTAGATATTGAAGTTATCTAAAGGTCGATTCCATGCGTGAATCGATATAACTTTTGATAGTATATAAAGTTAAATAAAATATCAAAAATAAAATAAGTAATTCTGTTGTTTCTAGCCGATCGATGATTCAAGTAATCGAAGTACTCTGCTGTCGATTTTATGCCTACGAGGAATTGTGTTATTGCGAGAATGCTCCTGGGGATTTATAACGGATTTATCGAGCGGATATATGGCTTTGTATGTCGACTTTGAAAATCCGTTCCGCAGATATTAATATCGAACGACGGGTATATCGGTGACATTTAAATCCCACAGGGTGAATAAATGAAAAATTTGTAACAGCGCCGTGTGTTCTGATATACGAAAAAGTTACACCTGCGTTATTCAAAATTGCGCTGCTAATTAACGCGTTAATTATGCGCGGCATCACTAATTGCTCTCAAAGTCCCGACCGCGCGACGATTTTGTTTTCCGAAATGGAAATTTGTTTGCATCGAGCCGCGAAAATTACCGCGACCAGCAGAGCGCATTCATTCAGCAGACATCTCGCTAATTGCTTTTAAACCCGCAACAAACCGGCTCACGGTTGCGTTTCCATATTATGCCATATTTATATGTTTAAGTGCATGCATATACATATGAAAATGTATGGCATATAATAATAAAAGCGGTAAATAATAACAGCGTATAATAATAACCGTTAAATAAAATAGCGGTACTTCATCGATAATGATAGTAATGGTAAAACGATAAAAAATGATACAGAGTTATATCTAGATGAATATATTTATATTGTTATATCGCACAATAATAAGACGTGTATTTGCCTTGCGTTGTATAAATATGCTTTTTAATGCTTGTAAAAATAGGAGACAAACATGTTTAATGCGAATAAAAATATTTGCAATAAAATTGTAAAGGAGGGCAGAAGAAATTTTATCATGCAGTCGAGATCCTGTAAAAAATACGATCTGTCCCGCGGGCGTAAATCAAAATCGATAACGCTGTGTGCTATATATCCGTATATGGGAGAATGACGTGTTCGTCAATTTCCAGCAACACGGTAGGTGTGCGGAAACGTTATGCGAAAATCAACCCTCGGCGCTTTCGCCGTTTCGTTTCTATTTGCAAGCCGGTGTAAACGCGCCGACGGCAGAATCGCGTTTCCGATCGTGCGTTCCCAGTTCGGGGAAATATCGGCCGGCCGATATTTCCATAAACAGCGAGCGGACGACACGGAGGGAGTGTACGACCGACGTTAATTGGGGCCTCCTCCAATTGCTTTTATATCCTCGGCTGCGTTTCGTCGCGCCTCGAGGCCACTCGGCCGCTGGCCCGGGATGCATTTTCCGCGCGCGCGCGTCCAGTGACCGGGATTACATCGATTTCCGAAATGAACGGCGAAGCGATACTCTCTCTCATCGTCGCGTACAAGCAACGGCGGTATTTCGTGACAGCCCGACCCGATATTTTTGAAAAGCCCGAGAGATATACATTATATACCGTACGATGACTCGTTAACACCTTGTCGAAATCGTCGCGCAACGTCATGTTGGCGCGGAACGGTCGTGCACTGTGTATTATTACACCAGCCAGAATACAGCGTAAATGTATGGATTGAAAAATGTATTTTCACGTCGAAAGACATATACGCGACGGATTTTATGTCACGTTGCACAAGAGTGAAGAGTGAATGAATTGAATTAAACGTATATGAGGTACATGGCACAGCAGAGCCGCGAAAATATTTGAGCGGTCTCTCGAAACAAGCGTTTATTAAACATTAATATCATGCATTCGCCATGAGATAGTTCATGAATCTAACGGATCGTTAGTTAGCATCCTCATCGCTCAGTCATGCTATCGTTCTTGATCGCCATTCTCGTGTCGTAGTTAGAATGCAGGTCCCTGGGCGTCACGGGAACCGCTTCGTAGTTAGAATGACAAGTCCCTGGACATACGAGACTATCTCAATCTAATTACGAACAATATACATTGTCTGTCTCCTACGTTTGCATTAGAGAGTTAATGCAAACAGCAGTATCCTTGATAGCGGTAAAATAATTTTTTCAAAATAAATTAATCATCAGGAAGAAATTAGCTTTTTAATCGTGGCCGAAAATCGTTGTTAAAATATATTATTATTTATATATTAAAAAATTTACACGGAGAGAATGATTTTGCTGAAATATCTAAAAATTTATCTAAATATAGATTTGAAAATAATTTATTAGCTCATTAAAAGTATCAAAATAATTATGTAGGAAGCTCAAACATATAATAAGTAATAATAAAATATTCTAAAAGATTTTAACACTCCAGCAATGTTCCAATAATTATTTTGATGATCTATAACAAAATTATTTTCAAATCTGTATCCAGCTAAATTTGTATATTTTTTAGTAAAAACCATTCTTTTTGTGCATGGTACCATAGTAAGATTCTTCCATCATGCATGGTACAATCTTCATGTTGTAGATTATTTCACGCGGCTTTGTTTCACGCGGACGAAATTGACGAACGCGATACATATCGATCCTGCATGCTATACATGTGACACATGACAACGCGGCTCACCGTTCGTCGAACTTTCTGTTGCAGGACATGTCCGACGTATGCGTTGGGACCAGCGTGGGGACCATCACGGAACCGGAGTGTTTGGGACCCTGCGAGCCCGGTACCTCCGTCACCCTCGAGGGCATCGTTTGGCACGAGACCGAAGGAGGTAAGAACCTCGTTACAGTTTAATTCGCCCATTTGCCTTGGCCGACTCCGCCACCTTGGACCTCCGACCTTCTTGTTATCCCCTTAGCTTCCTCTTAGTTACAGAGGATTAGGGAGCGAAATTAATCCTAGAACGATAGCGCTGATTTAGAATGAAGCATTGATTTTTAATATTCTCTTAATTGACAATTATAATCAATCGATAAAACAATCTTTTTCTTTATCGGAAAAATGTATTTTTACACAAATTGGTTTTATATTAATTTCTACCTATTAGTTTTACATTAATTTCTATATATTGTTGATCTTCTTTTGATGTATTTTAATTGTCATATTGCAGTAATGGATCTGTAATTAATGATAAATGAAATAATATTAATTTTAAATGATAATTTTATATGTAATTTCGAATCATGTGTTTTTCATGCAAGAGTCAGTCGAATACAGAAAATTTAATTACAATTAATTCCATTTGATATCTGAAAAGAGTATAACAGAGATAATATTTCTATTTTCATCCAGGTACAATTATTTAATGATATTCTTGAATAAATTATCCACCGATCGATCTACTTTGTTATTTTGTCTAATGAAAATGATTTTTTTTTTTTTTTTCATTAAAGAAGTATTTTTACACAAATTGCGATTCATACAATTAATACAATTTACTTAATCTTTCCTCTAGTAATATAAAATTGTAGAAATACAAGCGTGATCGCTCAAACTCTTCGGATGTTAAATTAACAATCTATTCATTTTTAATTAATTTATTAAGAGTACGAAGGATTTAACTGTTAACGTTAACGGACATTGGTAAAATACGAAGAATTTGTGCATTTAGACTATTAATGATTCATGTACATTCCCACTATTCGCTTGCTAAATTTGCTCCCATCAAATTTACTCTGTTATTGCAAGCTCTTCGCATAAAGTCATATGCATTGCTTATTGATTTATCGAATTTCTGCAATTCGCTGAATAATAGTAATAACACTAATGGCACCGCATACAAAGTCTGCGTTATTATTATGGAAATCACCGTTGTAAAGGAGTTATACGATCGCATCTTCTATCGTTCAACGTAAAATGAGCGCGTCCACCATCCACTTGTTTTCCCAGGATATTAAATAATATCGAGCATAGAGTTGTTATACAAAATGATGTTCACTGTTAGTGATGCGTATAAAGGAGGAGCAGTGTAGGAAACAGGATCGCGTCGCGATTTTCCTTGCGCTATAATAACGAGCGATAATTGCGCGAGAAAGGATTACAGGCGCCACTTTTCTGCAGTGGATATAAAGCATTTATTTCATTATACATTCAACTGAACAAGATAATAATTTGTGCAACGTTTACTAGCAGAAATTATCGCCTCGTTACATTTCCTGGTCGTATAAAATTTTTGCTTTAACTGTTATTTTCTGGTATTTTATCGGTAAATATAATATTTGATAAATGTAATTAAAAGTACAGATATCCCTCTACATACAACTATTTCGAATTTCCAAACTTCCAATCGATAAATGAATTAAAAAGAGGTGAAGAATGCGTGTGTGTGCGTGTACTAAAAGATAAGATGTTAATTTAATTTTAATAATGTTTAGCGGACTTTCTAATGCAAAAATGTTAAAATTAACATTTTTATATTTATTTTAACATTTTTGCATGTTTCAAAAAGTTCACTAAATGTTTTTAAATTAAAATTAATATTTTATTTTTTACAGAAAATCCACTTGTACGTATTTAAGTTAAAATTAACATTTTATTTTTACAATGTATGTATACATATCTACACATATATAAAAAAAAGTTGAATATATGTGTGTGTGTAACAATTGAACTGAAATTAAGATAACTCTACATTGAACGTTTTCTAGCAAGAATATTACGTAACATCGTGAATCGTCACATTCTTATTGTTTGCCGATGTTAAATAAGGATAAAATGATTCACTATGATGTTACACTGTATTCTTACTAAAAAATGCCCATTGGTCGAAATATTAACTTATTTTTTTACATAATCTTGAAATTATTTATATCTTAGAATGGCTAATAATACAAATATTATTATTAAAAGAGAAAGAAAAACAATAGATATTTTTACTATTCTTATGATCGATCTTACAATTCGACCTACAACTGAAGTCTCGGAAAACCTGTCAAATAGAGGGGTACTTGTAATATTTCAAGCATCGAACATCACTCGAAATATTTCCTGCTATTTTTATAATTTTTGTACATTTCGAAACGATATTGATTTCCATATATTCACATGACAAACGTCACAGACAAATAATTAAAGGGCCCAATAATGGAGACATGAATATTGTATTCCTTGATGAATATGAGACGAGTCTACATTATCGTGAAGATTAAATGGAAAGCTAATTACTAGCTGAACAGTCTTCGAAGTTGGTAGCAGTCGAGAGTAAAAATAAAACAGAACTTCTTGTTCGTGAATTAACTTCGAGCAGGTTTTCATCGAAACTTGATTTACTTTTATTATATAATTAAGATTTTAATCTTCAGATTTCATTAATTCCATTAGTCGGAGTTAATAAATGATTGACAGAATCGATAGATGATCTAATTGTTACAGTCATTCTCATAGAATCGCGCGAATAAATAATAACCACTGTCGTTGTGGTTATCGATAAAATAAAAGTCGTATCGTCTCGTGTCGATTGAAAATAACTAGCACCGATGATCAATCAATCGTTTGCCCCGGGTAAATATTCGGAGAGCACCGGTGTAATAGGAATAGCACTCGATCGATCTTGTTGCTGCTCGAACGATTCGGGGTTATAAATATTCGCCCGATATTCCGCCGGCCAGAAAAGTCGGGTAAATAAAAGCGTGTTGCAATCCCGGCATCATTATTTCGTTTGCCGAGATTAATCAACCGCGATCGTATAATTGTAATGTATACAGAATTGCGGCACTTTGTATTTCATTCGTTATAATTTCAATTTATTTGTTCATTCTTTTTGAGAAATATTTTAAATATTTTTTTTTAATTTTATTTTGTTTAAAAAGAGATATTATTATAAAAAAACGTGATCGCGCGGGAAAGAATTCATGATTTTCGCGCGCTTGTCCAGACTAATTTAGCGCAACGTTACACCGAAATATTGCACTGTCACGCCGCACCGGAGTATTTTCACGAGTAATGAGTGTGATTAGAACAAACGCGGATAAACTATGTAATAGGATCGCCCGCAAACTTATTAAGACCATTTCGACAGTTAAAGTAACGGTAACTCGATAACGATCACGTTTGCGCGAAGTAATGCAGATTAATTTATCTGGGTTTAAGCTTTCATGCTTGTTAACATACGTTCTACAGCTTAACATTCGCCATTGTTTTATAACTCGCATACGCATCACTAAGCTGACTCGCTAATTCGCCAGCTGTGAAACGCATTGGCTGGTTGCGTGCGACGTGTGGAATAATGTAATAACATAGAATGTTGATAGAGAAAATATTTAAATATTCAAGAATATTCCGGTGTGTGTGTGTGGGCGCGCGCGGAAAGCTCTAATGAACATATTTCTTTGTTATTTTATGTTTTAATGAAAAAATATAGAACGCTTTTAATAAATTATGACTCTACTATTATAGTTAATGTTAATATATCAGAATGGAAATGTCACTCTAGGAAAATTAGTAATGCGTTTTAAATTTATTTCAGTAACCTTTACTGAATTCTGTAAATTCATGAATATTGAAATTGATTTAATTGATTAATTGATTTAATTGATTAATTATATTTAAAAATTTATTACGTCATTTTTATCGAAAAACATCAACTAATTTGATTCCTTGTAATTTATTGAAAATACATTACGCTGTTTTGAGAAGCTCTTTTTATCTTTTACGTAAACATTTTTTAAAATTTATAATATATACACCAAAAATATTTCGCTTGGCAGCGTATTTCGATCGAAACTTTTTTTTACGGCTACTGCTAGTTTGAATGTTTATTAATGCTTTTTCTTTCTTATCACTCGCTGTATAATAATGAGTTGCGATATAATAATACGATATAATAATGCGCTGCGACTTGACTCGCACGCGAGATAAAAACTGATGTACGTAGAATGAAATTAAAACAAAAGCCGAGAGACGCTCTTCAGCGGAATAATTAATTTTACCGCGAGCTAACGTAATTAATACCAATTTCCCTAATAGATCGTTCCCCCTGGGAAAGCCTCCTTCTATTCGTCGCATGCTTCAACGATTTCTTCGTAATACGATTAAAGCGATCTGCGGAAATTATAAAGAAAGCCGCACGCTACACGAATACACGCGAACAACTATACTCCGTTCTCATCATACCTTCTTTTACATTCGTGACAAAACGTGACGGCTGCGCATAATACATGCTCATGAATACAAATAAATTTTATAGTATCGAGATATTCAAACATATAGGATACCCCAGAATTATCGCTCATTCTTTAGCGAAGTACATGTGAAATTCATTCTCTTCGTCGTACAAAGGTTTTTTTTTGTAATATCAAAAAGTTACATGAAACAATGTATGAAATGTGACGCACAAGATCCACCCACGAAATTATGAAAGTATAATTATGTCCGTGGAATGAAATCGATGAAGGTCTGTTTGCATGCAATACGCAAGATCCTGCCAACCGTTTCCGACAGACCTGCAATTAGTTTTACCCGAATCCTCGAATTCTCGAACCACACTCGAGCGTGCAATGTGGGCACACGCAACCGCGTACGCCTGTGCATGCCGTGCAGTAACCTCCGCGTGCACACAAAAGCGTGTGTTTCGCACACATAAACGGACAATACATACACACACACGCGCGCGCGCGCGCGCATATATGTGTACGTACATGCTGATACAACACGAGTAAGGTAGCTTGTCAGACAGGTATTATATGCCGCGGTCGTGGTTGTCGTCGGGTTAAACTACATCGTGACTCCCCGGCTGCTCTTCCCTCTTCCACTCTTTGTCTTTTCTCGTCTCTC